CCAGGGAGAAGCAGAGTCAGCCGGAAGCATCGGGCCGGTGCGGCGGGCAGAGCCATCCCGGGGCACGCAGCTGCCCACACCCCACCCACACCCCACCTTCCTGTTGGGCGCAGGCACGAAGCTCAGGAACTCGTCCACGTGGCCCACGTACAGCCAGTCGGAGTAGAGCTGCACGGGCGCCTGCACCCGCTGGGCCGCCAGGAAGTCCCACAGGGCCTGGTGCACCTCCCGGCTCTCCTTGCTGCCAGGGGGCAAAGGAGTATTATTTGGGGGAGGCAAAGGGGGTCTCAGGGGCTTTCAAAGGAGTCGTGGTTCACCTCCACCGAGGGAGGGGTGCAGGAGCCTGGATTGCCTTCGCCATGTCCCTTCCCATCTGGGAAATTTAGGGACTGTCATTCCAGTTCATTGAGGGGAAACTGAGGCACGGCCATTAAAGAAGAGAGGACCAGAGCCTAGCGTCAGAAAGCACGGCCTGTTGAATTGGCCTAGATGCCACAGTAAACCTGGGATTTGCAGCTGATCCAAACTGACTGAGTGGGTGGCCCCTGAGTTGATGACCCTTGTTAGCTGTGTGGTCTTGGGGATGTTTCTTCACCTCTCTGTGCCTACATTTTCTCCTGCAAGTCCCTCTGTGATTCAGTTCCTTGCTCTTTCTCTTGCTTAATCTGTTCCAGACACATGGCCTTCTTGTACTTGCCAAGCTCACTCGTGCCCCAGGGCTTTTGCACATGCTCTGTCAGATGCCAGAACCCCACATGGCCCTGTCATCAGGCCTTTCCCCAGAGAGGTCTTCTCTGCTCATGCTAACATAGGTCCCACCCATCTACCCTTTTCTTTCTCTCTTTCTTTGTTTTGTTTTCTTCACTATTTGAAATCACCTGATTTGTTTACTTTTCTATTATCTGTCTCTCCCACTAGCATAGTGGCAGGGGCTTGCATGTTATTCGCAGCTGCATCCCCAGCTCCTAGCACACAGTACGTGCTCAGTAAATATCCATTGATGACTGACTATAAGTGACAAGCCTGGAACTTAAACTCGGGTCCACTGGGCTCCAAAGCCTGGATACCTTGCCCTGCACTTGCCTCCCATCCCACTGCCTGGTATTTGTTGAACCCTCTTGGCCGGGAAGAGGCAGGGGAGGCTTCACACTGGCTCTGGCTTTTCCGTGTCTCACTGGTCCTGGCCACCCCTCCTCACCTGGGGTAGCAGCTGCTCCCCATGAGGATCCTGCCCAGCGGGTACCCCTTTTTTCCGACAGTCACTGGTGGGCTCACTTCCAGATTCCCGAATGCATCCAGCCCGGTGACTTGCCCCGTTAGGGGCCCTGTGGTCACGTAGCCAAAATTTGGGCCCTGAGGTGGGAGAAGCATTGGAGAGTTAGAGACCCCCGTCCCTGGGTGGAAGCGGGCAGGGGCAAGTGTAAGGCAGACCTGGTCCTGGGAAGGAGCCAGGTGTCCATCAGGGCTGATGCAGAGCGGGCACCAGTACCGCTCTCGGGATGTGGAGGGGAGGCTGGCGGGTTTGGGCAAAGAGAGCGGCTGTGGTGTCCCCGGAGCAGGCCAGCACCTCATAAACCTTCACTTGGCCTAATAAGTGTTATTCTTGTTTGTTTGTTCGTTTGTTTGAGACAGGGTCTCACTATGTAGTTGAGACTGACCTGGAAACTCACTATGTAGCCTAGGCTGGTCTCGAACTCACAGCGATCCTCCTGCCTCAGCCTCCTGAGTGCTGGGATGACAGGCGTGCGCCACCACGCCCAGCCCCAAGTGTCATTTTTACCCTGTTTGCACAGGAGCCAACCAGGCTGGGAGCAGTGGTGGGAGCACCTCGGGCTGGTCCCTGAGAGCTGCACCCTGAGCTGGGCTGGAAACCACTTCTCCAAATGGCGACACCTCCACTGTGCCACGGACGGAGCGGCGCGGGCTCTGTGGCTGCTGCAGCGAATGGCCGTCAGTCCGCGGCTTAGACCGGCACAGCCATTCCGTGTTGCTGCCACAGCCGGGACTGGCAGTGGCAGGGTGGTCCCTTCGGAGGACTGCGTCTTTGTTCTCAGCTTCCAGACGCTCCCTGGGTGCAGCTCCTTCCCGCCTTGCAGGCTCGGCCCTCTGGTCTCTGCCTCCGTCCTCACCCCAGGCCTCTTCCACCCAACCCTCCTTTCCCCTTCTTCCGAGGAGTGTTAGGACGTGCAACACTCTGTAGCTCAGAGGTTCCGCCACCTGCCTTGCAAGCGCAAGGTCCCGAGTTCGATCCCCGGTACCATAAAAAACAAAGACGCAAGGATGACACGTGACCCTCCATACGATCTCCCCAGGTCCGAGGACGGCACGGTCCTGAACTCGGTCACACGGCCGGTGGGGACGGCCAGGTTCCGGGGACAGGGCCCGAGCACAGCGGAGCACTGTGACCCCAGGAGAGGCTGCGCCCCAGCTCTAACCTCCTACAGGACCAAGACCGTCTGCACCCTCGCGGCTCCTTCCCGGGGCCCAGCCCTCTGTCTCCTTCGCTGCTGCACGAAATTCCGCGCGTGAGCCGACAACCTTTCTATTTCTCCACTCCTCTCCCAGGCCCGTCAGTGGGAATCCTGCACTCTCCTCCCGCCGCCCTCCCTGTTGGGGACGGGGACAGCACCTGCTGCTCACAAGTCACACCCTGGATGCCGCCTTTGGTTTGTCTCAGTCACAGGGGTCAGAAATCCAGGCGACCCACGGGGAATCTGACTGGGGCTCCGCTCCTACTGCCCGCTGCTGCGCCTCTGTCCCCTCCTCGGTTTAGGACCGGAAACCTCACCCAGCTTCTAAGCAGATGGGCTCACAGCGACCAGCAAGCCTAGAGCACTGCAGTCACCTGGGGTGAGCTGGCTCTAATTCTGTTTAACCCGAAGGTAGTCTTGCATCACTCAGAGGTTCTCCGGTCACCGTGGTGATGTAAGGTTCAGGGCCACTGTCTCAACCGAGCGGACACCACTGGTGGCTGGAGTGGAAAATGCAAGGAGCTGGGGAAGGTTGTGCTGAGCGGGGAATGGAAGCTGAGTCTGGAAGACGGAGGCTCAGTCAGCCACAGAACAGGCAGGAGGGACAGCATATGCAAAGGCCCTGAGGTGAGGGGCAGATGAGCAAAACAGAAAGGAGCCCAATGGGGCCGAAGCCAGGTAAGGGACACGACAAGTGGCCCACGGTGATGTTGGAGATGCAGGTGAGATGAAGATAGCCTGGTGACAAGTTTGACTTTTTTACCAATCCTCTTCACTCCGAATGGCAGACCGAGTGCCACAGGTGTCCTCAGTCACCACCACAGCCTCCCTTCTTTCACGGCTGCAGGCAGGAATGGCGCCGAGGGTCCTGTTCTCCCGCCGGGAGTCTCTCTTGTGACATGGAAACCTCTGGGTTTTGTCACAGGCAGGGCATCAAAGTAGGAGAGGCAGCACCGAGCAAGACAGGACTGCAACCAGAGAGCCAGGAACGAATCACAGCGCCGCTGACGCCTGAGCCAGCGCCCCTGAGGCGGTGCACTGGACCGGAGCAGCCGCCAAGCTCTTGGTGTCCCTGCAACTCGGAGTGGGGCGTGGCCGGCGGAAGTGAGACAAGGGAGTAAATTGCAGTTTCCTTCCAGAGCCTCCGGTGGGCAGGCCGCCTCCCTGCCCTCGGGCGCAGGATGCCACAGCCTCAGTTTCTGCATCTGCAAAATGGGCTGACTAATACCATCTCCGTAAAAGTCCGTGGAATGAAATGAGTCAGTGTATGCAAAGGACTCAGCAGTGTGGCTGAATAAAAGGCACAGTCCGTAAACGCAGTGCTTATTACTGCTGTTGTTATTCTGTGCTGAACCTGCATCACCCTGCCTGCGTTGTGTGACTCACCCACGTGCCACCTCCCGCAGGTGGGCACTCAGCCGAGGAGGTCACACCTAGGAAATGGACGCTGATTCCAGCCCCCACCTCCCGGACGGAGCCCCTGAAAGCTGAACCCCACCCCCAGAAGCCAGCGCCTGCAGCGGGCCCCACCCCACCCAGCAGCAAGAGCACAGGTGACAGGGCCAGATCTGATCACCATCTGCTCACGGTAATAACAGAGATAACCGGTCCCGCCCATGCTCCCCCCGCAGAATTCTGCTGTCAGGGCTGGGCTGGGAGGGCCAGGCGGAAGAGGAAAGGGGCCGTGCCCGCCCCCAGGAGTACCAGGACGCGTCTGACGGGGAAGTCCTTCAGGCCTCGGTCCCGCGGGGAGTCGAAGACCACGGGCATGGTTTTGTGCGGTGCCTGGATGTAGCCGATCTCCATTTCATCCTGCGTAGGAGCGAGGGCCTGGCTATGCCATGTGCTGCCAGGGTCGTGGCCCCCCGGACACGGACAGGTGCGGAAGCCACACTCTGCCTCCCTCTCCGCCAAGAGCACCCCCCCACCCCGTGATATGTGTGACCCCGGGAAGGGCTCTGAGGAGCAGATCCCTGTGTGCCCTGCACTCCGGGTACCAGGAATCACGGCCCTCCTGCCCTCTCCCGGCAGGGCACCGCCTCAGGGACCACAGTGAACAGGACCTGCTCGGTCCCAGGGGCCCTGCTCCTCAGGTGGGACAGCCAGGGTCCAGGCAGCGAGCCCCCGGTGTCGGGAGGGGCGGGGGTCCCATGGGATGCTGCCCAGTGCTGGGAGGGGCAGAGAAACTGCCCCGCTGGGAGGGCAGCTAAACCCATCCTGCCCAGAGCAATCCAGGCAAGGCCGGGCCTCCGCCCTCGGGGGGAGAGGGTTCGGGGGGCTTCGGAATTGAATCTGTGCAGACCCTGCCCCCAGGGCCTCCGTCACCCGTCCCTGGCAGGCGGAACCGTGGGCCATTTTCCCTCACAGGGAAAGGCCGGCTATCGCAGTGCCACATGGTTCGACCCAGACTTGCAAAGGGAGAAGGAGGGGCTGG